ACATTCAACTCATTTTTAAGTCAGTTTAATGTAATTTAAGTTGAAATGACTTGCACTGCCATTAAGTTTTGATAGATAGATAGATAGATAGATAGATAGATAGATAGATAGATAGATAGATAGATAGATAGATAGATAGATAAAATTGCTCATATTACTTGAATTTCATCTGTTTACAATTTTATTTAGCTAGTTTTCATTCCATAATTCTAACAGTTTGGCCTCTGAAACTGATTTACCTTCTATTTATGAAGAAAGACTTCATTTTCACTTTGTAAAGAAACATTCATTCATTCATTAAGTACTATTAAAACAAATTTGTGTAAATTGTTCTTTTGTAAACTGTTGCATTCAGTTCAATCATTGGCGTAAATAGATTTGTCTACGATTTACACAGAAAGTCGCATTTGTTTCATGAAGGGAGGCCTGACGCTTTGACATCGTTTGACATTAACGTTTAGCTTAGGTTACAATTGGAAACACAAATCATGTTCTATAACAAAAACAAAACAAATCTGATAGTAAAGTTGCAGGCAATTAAGACATGAAAAACACTATTGATGCCTCAAACAACATATGTCGGATGGTCATAAACATCATACCATATGCTCGATAGATTTTTTTCAAAAGTATAATTTGCTTTTGTGGGTCTTTTTAAAGCACAGTGTGATTCATCTAAAACCCCAAGACCATCAGTTGCAAGTCAACCTAATAGTTTGAACCTAATCAGAGAAAAAAAAAACATTTTATAATCAGTCTGGAATTGAAATGACAAGAGCGCAACACCTGGTCCGCATTTCACTCGATGAGATTTATGATGGGCATGTCTTGGAAAGAAAATGTCTTGGCAGAATAATAGAAACATGCTTTGTAATAAATTATAAACTGGTTTTGATTCTAGTAAAATAAGCCAAGCAATTTGTCATACAAGCAGTGTGTACATTCTGTCCAGAAAAAACAACAATCCTAATACGGTGTGATGAAGAACAAAGCGAAATTTAAGAGAAGGAATGTATTGTGACTCATTAAACTATGGAAAATCGAGCTTAAAAAACCAAATCCGACTCATTCGTCTTCGTGGTGTTCGAAAAACTCATGGCAACAAATGGTAACCATGGTGATGAAGGTCATGAACTCCTGGAAATCGCACTCAGAGTCGCCGTCGGTGTCCAAGCTTTCCATCAAACTGTCCATTGTTGCTTGATCTTTCACTTGCTGAGGGAGATAAAGAGAAAAATACAAAGAAAATAGAAAATAAGAAAATAGATCATTTGTTTAGCAATAAAATACTTAATCTAGTTCTGTCACATCGATTAATCACATCAAACATAAAAGATTGTATATATATATATATATATGTAAATGTGTGTGTGTGTGTGTATATATTAGTGCTGTCAAATCGATTAATTGCGATTAATTACATCAAACATAAAAATTTGTTTGTATATTTTATTATATTGATATATATGTAGAAATATATATATGTATAAGTGTGTCTGTGTGTAGGTTATATATATATATATATATATACACACACACATATTTATTTATATATATATACTTATGTATCAATATAATAAAATATACAAACATATTATATAAACAAATTTTTATGTTAGATGCAATTAATATATATGTACGCAAATATATATGAAGGTAATAATGAACTCATACACACATAAATACACACACATATAAAACATTTATGTTAGATGCGATTAATCGTGATTAATCGATTTGACAGCCCTAATATATATGTATGTGTATATGTATATATATATATATAGACACACACACACATATATATTATATATGTGCACATATATGTATATATGAACTTTTACTTAGATGCGATTAATCGACATTTTAATCGTACATTGTTTAGACAAAAATTCTGACAAATGTGATTTGATTTTAAATCAAATATTCTTACATTTTCAAGACAAAGTATAGTGTACAAATTACCTCTGTAAGAGTCGGAAATTCATGCGTGAGCAGATCCTTGAGTTCGCTCTTTTTTAATTTGTACTTGTCGCCTTCTTTCGACGAGTACTTGTGGAAGGTGTCAATGATGGTTCCCAGGCAGGTCTCTAAGTCGGACATCTTAATGTACCGTAGTGTGTTCGGTATTATCTAAAATAATTACAAAAGGCACACACACACACACAAAAAAAAAAGTGAAAATGTTTGAAAACCAATTTCAAGCTGTTTAACTTTTCCCCTCAAACGACTGCGAACGTTTAAGTGTTGGAGCAATTGAACGGACCATTAACTTTCTTCCTGTCTTTCACTTGTGCAAACACATTTCTAGTCATTATGTAGTTAGTTTTGCAGTACAGAACGCTTGCAGCGAAATAAGCTGTAAATCATTGTAATGATATAAAAACTTACTAGACTTACCAGCAGAGACTTTGTCAGAATGGAGCGATCCGGAGACGAGTGAGATGGGAGTCTATTTATAGGTCTGTAACAGAGGGGCCTGTAGCTTTGAGATTCTGACCTGTCAATCACCAGAGCTGACCAATGAGCTTCTGACCTTGTTCTCACTCCACATATTCCAAGTGAGATACAAAGAGTTGAAGATCAACACACACACAAAGTATAACACTTGTCTGGCCACTTTTATGGTTAAGAAGCGAGTACAAAAATCTATTCCATGAAATAATGCCTTTGCTATCATGCCAAACTTTTTTTTAAATAACATAATTGTCTCGTAAACTCGATATGATTGTCTGCGTGTTCTGCAGGTTTTGTCCAGCCAGTCTTTTCCAAGTAAGAGTCTTCTTTTCTATACATTGGTCGTCTCGTCGTCTCACTCTAGGCCACGAGGATATGCTCACAACTTTTTTTCCCCCTTTTTTGATCTTTCCAGAAAGTTCTGTTGCCCATAAGCGGCACACAAGTGTTTTGTTGTCAGGCATCTCAGTGGACGACAATAGTGTGTTTGAGAGGAAGTGAGTGGTGTGGCATGTTAATCAGCCAATCCTTTTCTGTTATAGAATTGGCCAGACGTGTGTCCTATACACCAGTGGACTATTAAACAGCTTTGAGACCGAGACAAACACAAACAAACACGAATTCAATGCACTGAATGACATAATGTACACTACATTTTAATATGATTTTATGTTTGTTAATGTAGGCAGGATATTGACTGAATAATAATAATAACAACAATAACTGCTTTTATTTATTTATTTTAATATATTAACATAAATAAATGAATAATACTTATGTTCAAATATTATTATTATATATTGTATGTATTATATATTCAATGAATTCAGTGTTTTGAATAATAAAACAACTCTTAAGAGTAATAAAAAAAAAAAATTATTATTGTTGTAATTGCTCGTTTATTATTAACTTAACTATATATTATAAATATAATAATATATTGAATAATAATAATAACTAGTGTAATTGCTTTTTAAATGCGTTTATTGTTGTTGTTGTTGTTATTTACAGACAGTTTCAAAACAACAATAATAATAATTGTATTAACTAAGTGCCTTTTTTGCTTGACAACAGATAATCTGCTTAGTTTTAATATATATTTCATGTTTTTCTAATAATTTGTAAGTTTTCCCAATATATATATATATAAACATTTCATAATTGTAACCACAGTTGCATTAACACATGGGGGGGGGGGGGGGGGGGGAATATAATTTCACAAGTATCAATGTTTACTCTTTTAACAATATATAAACATCAATAACAATAAATATAAATGTGTTACAATATTATGTAAAATAACAAAAAAGATGGTTTTGAATACAAAGTAATAATATAATAAATTATTTGAATGTTTATGTGTTTTATTGCCTTATGTTTTAACTATGAATACTTTAAAATACATAAATATTATACTGCATTTAGTTGCACTAATTACTATTCTTATAGGCAAACATAAACAGTGAAATCTGAAGTCATGAAGTCATAGTCCATATTAAAATGAAGAGGTGCATGGGAATGCAGTCACGGGGCACTACGATCCTTCAGTCCCCCGTCCCACTCCTCCCTGGCGTTTGCCCAGCGGGCCGGACGGTTGGCGATTGCCGGACGGCCTTTATTCCGCCATAATAAATGTGTCTTTGTGGCCTCATATAGGCAGCACAAACAAACTGTTGTTGACAGCCAACACTGCATCTTGTGTGGGGCTCGCTGTCCCGACGGCCTTTCTCTGGGGTCAGATGGATATAGCGCCCCATGAACAAATCAATAATCCATCTCTCTCCCTCTCTATACTCTGTGTTGATTTGTTCATCACATTGCAATCTGGGAGTGGACTGCCTCAGATGACTGTTCAATTATGGCTGATGAATTGTTTTGCAGTGATGAATCAGTGATCTTGATCCAGTCTAAGATGTGTGGGTAAGGTTTATTTTTATTTATTTAGTTTAATTTTGGGTACTGAATTTCCCTAATGTCACGGTAACCTTTACGGCACTACACTTCCCAGCATCCCTTATGTTTTCCACCTGCACACTCTCGGCCATCACCTGATCATCACATCATTTGCTTGTTTTCTGTTAACCAGTGTTCATCTGTGTTTCTATTTAGTTCCGTTCTGTTCAGTCAGTCTCTGTCCATTCTACTTTGTATCAAGTGTGTGTGTGGGTGTGTGTGTGTGTAAACTGTCTGCCTAAATCTGTGTCAGTTGCGTTTTTTATTGGAACTAACAGTTGAACATTATAACTTCAATAAATTAAATGTATTAAATTAAAATGACACCATTTTATTTGTAATATTAAATGGGGAAAAAAATAAATAAATTAATAAAATGATTAATAAACTACAGTTTTATTTTAAACTTGATATTTAATAAATAAATACATCAAATTAAATAATACTATTTTAGATCTAATATTAAATTACATTTGAAACTAATAAATTCATAAATAAAATCACAAAATAGTGAGACTATTTCACATTAAATCTTGATATTAAATCAAATTAAATAATTATTAAATGTATCAAATCTATAATAAATCAATGTAAAATACACTAATATGAGACCCTTTAACAGTTAAACTTAATAGCCTATTACATCCTATTAAATTAAAACACATTTTAAAACTAAATGAATTATTAAAATAAATTAATAAAATGAGGCGCTTTAACAGTTAAACATTGATATAAAATAAACAAAATAAATGTATAAAATAATCAAAATAATGAGATCCTTTAACAATTAGACTATAAAATCAAATTAAATTAAAATATTAAAATGATATGAGTGCTTTATTGTGCACTAATATGGTGCTTTAACAGTTAAACTTTAATATTAATCGTGTTCTCCATCATGATTTTAAATTGCGTGTGTGTGGGTGTCCTTGTCTGGCTGTGAACAATCACCTCTGTAAAAAAACAACAGAATAAATGAGCTTTTGTTGTCCGCTGGATTGAGGAACCTGTTCTCCCCCTGTACTGTGCCAGCCATATGATTGGCGGCCCAGTGCACTCTGGGATACGGGTGGTGGCCTGACAGAGGACTCATTTTGAGCTCCAGCCACGCTCAAGATCACATGCTCTCATTGACTACTGTTTCCTTACTACTGCTATGTCTATCACTTCTCTCAATCTCGACTAAAATGAATTAAAAGAAACAAAAAATACAAATGATAAAAAAGTCTTTATTGCCAATATTTACTTGCCTGTTAGTTTTTAAAAGCTCAGAAATCCTTTTTATTTTTTATCTTTGAGTTGGTCTTTTCAATCAAATCTAAAAGTAGTTATAAGAACTTCCGACCAGTGGTTAACAGTTGGTGGAGCTACTACTTAGATGGCCTTTGAAAATATTCTGAAACATAAAAAGAATAATTTTAGTGCTGACAAATCGATTAATCGCAACTGATCACTTCTAAAAGTTATTATTTTTTAATGTTTTTGAAAGAAGTAAAGGTATCCAAAACACATCAACTGACCACAGGGTTCAGTCCTTGGACCGCTCCTCTTCTCCATTCACAATACAAATGCTTTTCTATTTTAATATACTTTCAAATATAATTCATTTCTGTGATGCATAGCTGAATTTTCATCAGGAGCAGATTGGTCAGTCTTCAGTGTCAGCTGCTTAATTTGTTTTATAACCTTTGATACATTTTTCAGGATTATTTGACGAATAAAGTTAAAAAGAACAGCATTTATTCAAAATAGAAATATTTTCCAACTATGCAAGTCTTCACTATCAAAACTGAACACATCTTTGCCAAATAAAAGTATTAATTTCTTTAAAAATAAGATTTTTTTACCGACCCCAAACTTTTGAACAGTAGTGTATAATGTTACAACAGATTTCTGATTAGCTTTTCTTCTCTTCATTTTTTAAATTTCTGACAATATTTATCTTTGTGTTAAATATTAATCTAATGTTTTTGTGGCCTTCAATTTCCATCCATGAATTGAAATTGCAAAAAAAAAATCCACAAAAATAAATAAAAATAGCCTAATTTTGAAAGGTCATGTAAGGACACCCCCCAAGACCACCCCCCCCCCCTTTTTTTTTTTTTGTAAAGCATCTCAGGGTCTGTAGCAAACCAATGTCAGTTAATGCCAATTATACTGCATTTTTGTGCACATAATTATTATAGAATGATTAAGAAACAGTCATTTGAATTGCCTAAGCTGGTAAATACGATTTCTTCTGAGTTTTAGACTGCTTTTCACAGGAAAACGGTGAGGAACAAGGATTTACAAGACAATTACGACCTAATATTTCATCGCTTGACCTTCTGAACGTTAAGGAACGAAATGTGTGTTCTGTTTGCGGGTGGTTGATCCGAGAGAGAATTTAGTATGTTTGGCCTCATTCGTGTGTTGAAAGGCGCTGAAAGAAAGTCTTTAGAGTTATTTTTCAGTCAGGTGAACTTTTCTCTCCATACAAATCACCCAGCGAGATTCACTGGCCTTCCTGTTGCTTTGGCTGTTGCCATGGCGATGACCTGTTGCCGCGCTGCAGTGGCGGGTTTTCGTTCCCATCTCACGCTGCCAGAAAGGTTCGCCAAAAACGCTGAGTCATCGCCTGGCAACGCGCCACGGCAACGGACAACAGCAGCTCTCCAGGTGCAAAGTACTTAAGGCCTGATTTAAAAAAATACATACGCTTTTGAACTTGAAAATATTTTTCCAAAATATCAAAACTTGACATTTGACACAGACGAGTCGAAATTCAAAATGTTTTATATGACCACGTGGTGGCATTGCAAACATTGCAAATGCATCCAGCGTCTTTTAAAACTATTCAGAACACGGCTTAAAACGCATTACAAGGCATAGATTGTTAAGAATTATTTATTTTTATGGACTGTTTTTGGATACACTTGATTTGTGTAATCTCAAGTGTTGCTTACGCCGCCATTTTCTCAACCACATTCTTGCTTAACCACTAGGTGTCAGACTTGGCTTTTTTGTGGATTGTTACTGTCCTGCAGGCTCACTAATGGCTAATCTGTCCCTTATTTCCCACCTGCAGTGTTTTGTCTGGTCTGTTTCCAC